TCGGATAAAGTTTAGCTTAAAAGCTGGTTATCAGTGTTCTACCTTGGTTAAATCTATAATAAAGTTATATATGTATGTTTTGCCTCTACTTATGATTATTTTTATTTAGTTTCCGAGTCTGATTTTCCTGTGTTTCCAGTTTCCTCAGTGTTTCTTTCCTCATGTACTCAACTCCAGCTCCTTCCTCTCTCCTGTTCCTCGTATCTGCCCAGGCAGGGCCGGCCCAAGCCTCCATGGGGCCCTAAGCGAGATTTGGTTTGGGGCCCTCTATTTCTGCTAATAATGTGGATTATTGCAATCAACAGTCAGATGATCAGATCATTCACCCACCTGACATAAACTCATTGCAGCTCTGACAGCCCTGCTTGGGGCACCGAAGACCAATTTTCTTTTTTCTGCAAGTATAGAGAATGATTTACATGATATCACCCACACCCACATATCCTATCTATCCATCTATCTTTATATATATATCTAGATAGATAGATAGAGCTATCTCTAGCTAGCTAGCTATATTTATTATTGTTTAAAAAAATCACAACTTTTGAATAAAATTGTGTTTAATAGATCCAACAATGTTCAGTCAGGTCATCTGGACTGTACTTTTTTTTTTTTGTTGAGAGACAAAAAAAGGAAGTGTCCAGATGACCTGACTGAACATTGTTGGATTAATTTACCTGGATTATTGAGCATGAACTTTGATGTGTGTAACAGAATTAAAGAGCAGAGGGTTTAGTGTTCTCCAGGAAATCAACTAGTTTAGAGCAACAAGTTGATTTATTTGTTGTGTTTCTGAAATAATACAAAAAATTATTAATCAACTTATTACTATAGACGAGACAAACATATTGTGATAACTAAAGTAGCAAAGGACTATATTCAATAATAAAGCAATATAAAAAAGGGTTGTAAGCTCAATCATCCAGCAAGCAACATAAAGCAATATAAAGTATATTCTACATCTTATATAAACTAAACATCTCGCATGAGGCACATGGAGAGCACGACTTGGCTTATTACCTTTAACAGCACACTACATGCAACTTCATTTCTGCATGACTAAAGTATGTTAACATGACGCTAACATCCAGACTAAATGATATAACATCATTAGACTCGCGTGCTGTCATTACACACAGCAGGAAACCAAGAAACCAACTACAGATGCTCAAAAGCTGCGAACTTTAAGCAGGACGGTGCGTCAGAACAGCCATGGTGCGTTCAAAGATGTAGGAATCATGAAATTCAGAACGAAAAGCTACAGTTAGAACTTGGCTCAGCAAGTAAACTAAGAATATATAAATAATGTGGGCTTTCTAAATAAAAATCATTACTAAAAAAGAAATAAAATAAATTCCACTTGGGCTTCCTAGTGGCCTGGGGGCCTAAGCAGCCGCTCATGATGCTTATGCCTCCAGCTCCTTGTGCTCCTCTGTGTCTTCTTCTGTTGCTTTACGTTCAGAGTCTCTGTGTTTCTAGCTTGTCCGTAGATTGTGCTTCCTCGCATTCATGCTCCATTTCCTCCACGTCTCCCTTTAATACTGGTTTTTGTAAGTTGCTGCCTCGTCAGCTTTTGTTTTGAGTTTTTATTAATAAGTTCTCTTTATTTTTGCCCCTTGTGTTCCTCTGAGTCCGTCTGCATTTGGGTCCAACAATCAAAGCAGAGCATGTTAGAATCTATGGAGTGAAGTGCTCTGCTAGGAAAATATGGAACAATAAGATCCCAAATAAGATGGAGCTTGAGAGCCTTGTAGGTTAGAAGTAAGAGTTTGAATTCAGTTCTTAATTTAAAGCACCAAAGTTCATGCTCAATAATCCAGGTAAAAATCCAACAATGTTCAGTCAAACCAGTTTTGAATTTGAAGCTTCAGCCTATGAGTAAGACGAGGGAACTGCAACAAATGAGTCAGATGGGGGAGCTGCAGCAGACGATGCACCCATGGAGGCTGCAGCAGATGATGCAACGAAAGAAATGAACCGGCAACAGAGGAAGCTGTAACAAATGATGAGGGACCAGTGATGGCCGCCATCTTCTTCCAGGGGTCACTGGAGGTGGCCACTGCCTCCAAATATGTATGTATTACCTTGCAGAGCCATTGATAGTCCTCGGGGGCGAGCTCTGCCAGGAATGGACAGTCGATCGTTGAGGAGGATTCATCTGAGCAGTGAGGATTTTAAACTGGAGGATTTTGATCAAACTGGTCAGACTGTCCGACTGAGAGATGGTGTGGTACCATGGGTTCACCTTCAGAGAGTAGGAGCATCATTATAAGTTCAGTAGAGTTCATACATGTACATATTTTATTGTGAGTCACAAGGTGAGACACCTCCATGTGTTTCTATGAACAGGTAACTAGAGACTGTAAAGTTCATCTTCATGATGCTTTTTCATTTCAGCTTGAAAACTGCAGGACTACAGGAACTCAACAAAAGCTGCAGCTGCTCTGTCTGTGGCCTCTCAGGAACGTGCACGTCTCACACACACAACCTCAGGAACGTGCACGTCACACACACAACCTCAGAAACGTGCACGTCACACACACAACCTCAGGAACGTGCACGTCTCACACACAACCTCAGGAACGTGCACGTCTCACACACAACCTCAGGAACGTGCGCGTCTCACACACACAACCTCGGCCTCATGATGTGAGTATTTCTATTTTAAACTTTATTTTTTCATTGATCTTTATTTATCCAGGTCGACTCACTGAGTCACAAAAACTCATTTTCTAGAGAGACCTGTTTAGGAGCAGATGGTGGGGGTTGAGTGCCTTGCTCATGGGGCCCAGAGTGGGGCCAATGAGGGTGGAGGCAGGTGTGGGTGTTTCACCTTTTCCACCTCATTTTGATGTTGACGGTACCGGGAGTTGAACCTGCGACTTTCCGATCACAGGCCCATCTTCTACCCTCTGCTCCACCACTCCCCCACATGACATCATATCATACTGGTCGTATTAAAATCTCACTGGTTTCCTTCCAGATGTGTTAAACAGCTGCTGGTCCCCCTGATGTTTCCAGGTGTGTGTGGTCAGTGGATGAAAAGCCTGGCAGGAACAAGATGATGCTGGAGATGATGATTTGACGAGAGCTCCCACCTTCTACCTGTGAAGAACAAGAGCAGCTCAGTGAAGGTGCTGAGAGCTGCAGAGAGGCTGATCCATGGAGCTTCAACACAGCAACCTCCAAACATGTCCACCCTCACACACATCGTCTGTGGACACACTGGACCACAGCACAACATGATAAGACACTGACAACAACAACAACAATACACATTTACTAATGACACTGGACGTCTCCCTAAGAAAAAAAAAAAAACCCTGGACACGCTGGAGAAACTACGTCTCTCTGTTGGTCTGGGAACACCTTGGAGTCCTCCCAGAAGAGCTGGAAGAGGCTGTGGAAAGAGATGTCTGGACCTCCCTGCTCAAGATGCTGCAGCCGAGACCTGAGTCCAGATCCGATGGATGGATGGATGGATGGATGGATGGATGCATGCATGCATGGATGGATGGATGCATGGATGGATGATGGCTGGAAAAAGTTTCTATCTTTAACAAAAACTGTGAAAAACAAACATCTTTGTGAAGATCTCAGTCACGATCTGCGTTTTTGTTGGTTTTGTTGAGAATATTTTCTCGGAAGGTAGAAAAACGTGATTAAGTTGAAACTCGGACAGAGGGCGAAACGTCTTTCCACAACAACGAAACTGTCCAGATGACCTGATGACCATTACTGGAGTTTGTACCTGGACGACTGAGCCTGAACTTTGATGTTAAGTTGCAACATTTCTTAAAACTCCAGCCAGGATGTGACAACCATACGTTTCCTGTAAAGTTATATTTCATCTAATCAGCAGCATCAGAGAACATCTTCTCTGTGGGACTTCCTGTTCTGTAGCTGCACATATCTCACACACTTCCTGCTCCACTTTCACCCGCTGTAATATTCAGAGGAGGTTTATCCTAAACATCTGCCTGACATCAGCCAGGACGGTGAACACGTGAGCTCTGGAGACAAACTGCAGCTGAAGCTTCTGTTTCAGCTGAAGACAGAATCTGGATATTAAACACAAAGAATCAGTTTGTGGCACGAGGCAACCATTTACAGACAGGTTTTAAATGATCAGAAGCTGTTTCTGCATCCTCGGCACAAAGTCAAGCCAGTTCTCGGTGCAGGTTGGACCCCCAAGGGCTGTCCCTGGTCTCTGATCCTGTTTGTGGTCTTCATGGACAGGATCTCAAGTCGCAGTCCTGGAGTGGACGGTGTCCAGTTGGGGAATCTCAGGGTCCCATCTCTGCTTTTTGCAGATGATGTGGTTCTGTTGGCGTTTTCAGGTCACGACCTTCGGCATGCACTGGAGCATTTTGCAGCCGAGGCAGATGGCGAAGGAGGGGAAGGTCTGGATTTCTCTCCTGGACCCAAACACAAATAAATGGTAGAAGATGGTGATGAAGACAGTTCTGTTAACTACTTTGGTTTGGGGCCCAAACTTTGGGCCACAGTTTGGCTACATTTAACTTTTAGCTACAATTTGTTTTGCTAAACTTAGCTTTTAGCTACTATTTGCTTCGATAGTTTAAGCTTTTAGTCACAGTTTTGTTACGTTAAATTTTTCACAACTGTTACTTTGCTCTGCTAATTTTGGCTTTGAGCTACTTTTCTGCTCATTTTCTCTCTTTGCTACTGCTCTTGTTTAAGCTCTTCAGTGTTCTGCTCCGTTAAAATGTTGTTTTCTTAATTAGCTTTTAGCTTCTTTGACAAATGTCAGCCGTCCTTCGGCTCTCAGCGTTCGTGCTGCATTTTCACAGAAAATACAGAGAAGTTTGTCCATAAACAACAAAAACGACACGTGATCTGAGCTAACGCGACTCGTGTCTGTGCACGGCTCGTGGATGGACGCCATGTCTCTGGGACGTCCTTGCGTCTCTGCGTGTCTTCCTTATCTCCAGGAAGCTCTTTAAAACCAGAAGCTGACGTCTGATCTCAGCAGAAAGATGCCTGAAGCTGATGTAACGTACGCTGATGTGAAGTTCACCAGAATCAACAGAGGTGAGTTTTTCTGACTACATGCTCGCCCGCCGGTCAGAGCGGGTGGATAAACGTGTCGTGTGGGTTTTGTTCTGCAGGAACCTTCTCTCCATCAGACCACAGCACTTACTCCGAGGTCAAGATTTCACCAAGAGAACCACCAGGTGAGTAAAAGCCTGAAGCGTTTAATGAAGCGCTCTGATTCTAACGGTTTACATCGGCTTTGGTTTTTAACGTATAAATAAAATCAGTCACAGACGAGCTGAAGATGGAGTCGATCTTTCAGAGGAAACAGCTTCAAGTGATCAAAGTTTCTATAAACCAGGATGTGACTGAGCAGAAATGTTTCAATTTTAAAAACGTCAAACGTCCAATTCCCTGTTTGTGCAGCGGTTCCTCCTGATCCAACGTCTTGATGTTTGATAAATATTTGTTTTTATGTTTGATGCTTTTATAAAATCTTAAAGTTATCCTTCAGATCTTAATAAAATGTAATTTAATAAATTTGAACGCAGTAAATCTTTGACTGAAAAAGATGTCAGCTGCACGCTGTGGACCGTTACAAACATGTTTATTCAAATGTATTGCATTTCGTTTTGTGTTCCCTTTATAGCAGATTCTCACCAAAATGAGTCGAGCTGGAGGTCAAAGGTCACCTCAGAGCGTGCGGCCCTGCTGGTTCTCGGTGGAGTTTTAGCCGCTGCCGTCATCGCTCTCGGAGTCTTTGGTAAATCTTAAAAAGTCATTTATTTATATTGGCTTTAAAATAAATCAAATGACTGAAATAAAACAAACCAACATGTGACAGTTTTCCTTTTTGAATAACAGAATAAATGTAACGTTTATCAGAATACCCAGAGAATATGGACCGAACAGATTTCGAGACCAAATAAAAGTTCAACACGGTTTATTTACAAGTGATGGCATCAGCAACGTGCACGTCGGGGAGGGACTGGATCTAGGAGGGTTTGTTGAAGTTGCAGGTGATCCAGTGGTTCAGTGAGTGAAGGAAAACGTCCGAGGAGAGTTCCAGGTTGAGGTAGGCAAGTGTCTGGAGGGCGAGGAGACAGCTGACGAAGTCACAGTGGAGCTGGAGGTCGTACGGTGGGAGTCCAGACAGGAAGGCAGCAGAACCAAAAACTGAAAACACAAAGGACTCAAGGAAAGTTAATCTTTCATCCAATAATGCACAGGGGCCAGAAACACAACTACCGTTAGGCGTGTAATGCTCCAGCAGTGACTGGAGGTCTTCTGCAGCTCATCAGGGAGCTGGTCCACAGGTGTGGCTTGTTGGCTCCACCTTGTGACTGCAAGAAGCTGAGAGACCTGAACTCCTACATTAAAGAAGAATTACCGTTGTATGATTTATTTCTGATTATCTGTCTGACTCAAATGGCTCACATGGGTTTTATGTCCTCTTCCAGCACTGGAGTTTCTTTTTCTTCTTCTTCATGTATGAGCTGCTTGAAATTACTTTATTAGTAATTTCTTCTTCTGTGGTTTGTGTCCCGTTGGTTCTGTCACCTGTCTAGGTCTACTTCCTGTATTGGTAGTACTTCCTGTGTGTTCTTTAAATAATAGCTTCTTTTCTAATAACCGTCTTCTGTCTGACTTTATCAATCGCTCACATGGCTATCGAGGAATTATGAAGTGTTTGCTGCTGCAGTGCATTATGGGTAATCATATTCTCTTTGGTCTGGTTCTGTCTGGTGGTTCCTTCAAATCAGCGCCATATATTTATATATATATATATATATATATATATATATATATATATATATATATTTATAGGGCTCTGCCTCAAATAAAACAAACCTAAGTCGAGCTGCCAACTTGTTTTTAGAGACAAGAGGTCATGACTGTTGACCTTTGACCTGCTGACTGAGGCCTCTAGAGTCTGAGATGGAGCTCCAGAGTGTAAAAACATTATTGATTTGATTGAATCTAATTTAAAAGACTGTTGTTTGTTGTTGTTTTTGTCTTTTTCAGCTCATGATGTGAATAGCCTCAGTCAGTCTGTCCAAAGCCTGACAGAGGACAACGAAGTTTTGAGGACAAACTTATTAGGTGAGACCTTCAGGGTTGAAAGGTGATATTGTAAAATAAGAAATGAGACCAACTGAATTCAAATGCTTTACTAATAAAAGCAGCCGTCACAATGAAGCCGTCATGTCCTCCACCTCCTGAATGAAAAAGTAAGTTATATATGTTTATCTCCTTTCTGTCCTGCTGATCTTAAAGAAACATTGATGGACTGACAGAAACAGGAAGTGTACGTGTTGTTCAAAAGGCTCCGAAGACGCGATCTATTGTCATTTCAGAAGGTTTATTTTACACACATGTAAAAAACAAAACTCAGCGCTGGGCCATTTTAGCGCACGAGGTGGCGGCGATCAAAATGGCGCTGACGATTCAGAGATCAACAGTTTTCAGAGGCCACGCCTCTGAAGTGGTGATCGTCAACAGCTTATGGGAAATCTCTGCTCGAACTGTGTGACCAGCTTTTTAACCAATAATCCTTAACTCATTTTTGGTCTGTTGAAAAGTGCAGGCGCGCAACTAAGAAATCCTTCCTACCGGAAACAGAATCTCTCCAGAACAAAAGATCCACCTTGTCTCTTTTAATGCATAAAATTATGATACAAGGTCAAAGTTCAAGGTGACTTTATTGTCATTCGCATCACATGTGGTACATGAGGTGGAAGGAAATTGTGTACTCAAGGTCCCAGTTACACCCAAAAAGCCTCCATGCCACACGTTGATGCTGGAGCACAGGATGCTCTCCACTGCACACCTGTAGAAGGAGGTGAGGACTGAGCTTCCAGACCAGCTCGTCTCAGCCGTCTGAGGAAGTAGAGTCTCTGATGAGCTTTCTTCTTCAGGCTGGTGGTGTTGTTGCTCCAGCTGAGGTTGTTGTTCAGGTGCACACCCAAGTACTTGTAGCTGGAGACCACTTCCACCACAGATACTCCTTTTGGGGGGGGGGGGGACTCACCATTGTTTGTGATGCATCCAACCACCGCTGTATCATCTGCAAACTTTAAATTATGGCAGCCTGGATGGGTAGCTGCACAGTCATATGTGAGCAGAGTGAACAGGAGGGGGCTCAACACACAGCCCTGAGGGGAACCAGTGCTGAAGGTTATGGTGGAGGAGGAAAAGTTGTGGATCCTCACAGACTGCAGCCATATAAAAACATAATGAATAACAATAATCACACATTAAAGTAAGATAATATTTACCGGTATGAAAGAAATGTATTTCAGAAAATCACACAAACATCAACAGAGTTCTTCCTCCTGACTCCATGAAGACTTTGCTCTCATCTCTCCAAAGGTAAAAGATGTCTGGTGTTTGAAGGAGACTGGGAGCTTCATGGAGGAAAGTGTTATTATTTCAACACCTATGGACTCACCTGGCAGGAGAGCAGATGTTTCTGCAAAGACTTTGGAGGAGACCTGGTGAAGATCTCCAGCAGAGAGGAGCAGGTATGAAACACTGCTGCAGGTTCATGTTCTCAGGTTTCAGCACATCTTCAGGTTTCTTCATCTCAGCACACAAAAGTCTCTCAGAGACATTTTCATCAACTTTTCCTGTTCAGGAGTTTCTGGTGGGAAGAGTGAGAGACTTGAAGACAACCGAGGATGACAAGTTCTGGATCGGACTGACGGGGTCAGAGACTGAGTGGCTGTGGGTGGACGGATCACCTCTGATCAAAAGGTTTGATGGTTGGAAAAGCCAAGTGTTAACAAGAAAAATCACTCTCCAGGTTTTATATTTTTGTTCCTCCCGTTTTTCATGTCTTAGTTTGAGCTTTTGGGCTGAAGGAAGGACCGAGAATGAAAACAAGAAGAATCAAAAAACCTACTGCGTGACGATGGGGAAGAGAAGAGCTGATGGTCTGAAGAGCTGGTTTGACAGACACTGTCATGATCATCACAGAAATATCTGTGAGAAATCAGCAAAAACTGATTCATGTGTTTAAAGTTCGGTCCTGTCTGATCTCAGTCCAGGATCCAGAAGGTGCAGCCCGGCTGGTTTTAGGAACTTTATGTCACAAACGGTTAAAACTTCCTTTAAAATGTGTTGACAGAAACAGAAACTTTTTGATTTAAATAACTGTTGATCTGAATATTATGTGCTACAACATCAGGATCATCACATTAAAATATCTTCTGTAATAAATTGTTTTTGTGAGATTTTTCTTTTAGCATTTCAGCAGCCGATGCTCAAAAAGTAAAGAGTTTATTCTGAAACGTTCAGCTCCTCACTAAAAACACCAACTTTGTTTATGTAAATCGTCAACGGAATATATTTTTATGTTGATATTTAATGATTTAAAGTCAAGCAGGAATCAAATTATGTGAAATTAGTCCTTTAATGAGTCATGAAGGTAGAAGTTTTACTCTCGCTCCTCCTTGAATCACCACCTTATCACGGTGGAGGAGTTTGTAGAGCTCTGCTGTCGGGGGCACAGGCCCCTGGTAGGGTCTCCCAGAGCAAACTGGTTCCAAGTGACAGGCCAGATAAAGAACCATTGATGATACCTGCATGGACAGAAGGTCCCTCACCTTGACATGGGGTACTCAGGCCCCACACTGGAGCCAGGACTGGGGGGGGGGGCTGGTCAGTTAGCTCCTGGTGACTGGCTCTGTTCTGTGGCCTCAGGATTCTGTCTCTGCTGTTTGCAGATGACGTGGTCCTGTCGGTGTCATTATGCCCTAATGTAGTTGTTCCCAACTCTGGTCCTTGAGGAACACCATCTTACTTTCCCTGTTTTGACGTACCCGATTTAAATGAATGGGTGATTAACTGACATCGGCAAAACTTGAGGAAGTAATTAAATCACTGAATCAGGCGTGTTGGTGCAGGAAACAACTAAAACATGCAGGATGGTGTTCCTCAGGGACCAGGGCTGGGAACCACTGCCTAATGTCCAGCTCTCACTGGAACGGTTCACAGCTAGGATGAGGATCAGAACCTCAAAATCTGAGCCCATGTCAGAGGGTGCTCTGTCCTATCTGGGTTGGGAGTGAGGTTCTGTCTCAAAGTGAAGGAACTGAAATATTTCTGGGTTTTGTTCAAGAGAGGGAAGAATGGGGCGGGAGATCAACAGATGGATCAGTGCAACTTTAGCAGTATTGTAGACTCTGTGCTGGTCCGTTGTGGTGAAGAGGGAGCTGAGCTGCAAAGAGAAGCTCTAACTGACTTACCTGCTAAAATAAAGATTATTATTACTAATATGTGTAACTATATCTTATTGTACTGTATTTATTATTGCATTGTTTTATCTTGTACTGGACTGTATCACAGTATAATGTATTAAGGCGGCACGGTGGTGCAGTAAGTGGACTTCTCGCCTTTCAGCACAAACGTTGCAGGCTTAAATCCAGGCCTGGGACATTTAGGGGGGAGGTTCCGTGTACTCTTCGTGCAGATGTGGGTTTTCTCTGGGTTCCACCCTTAGACCAAAAGCATGCATGTTATTTGGGTGTGAGTAAGGGTGTGATTTGTTGTTAGTCTGGTTTGTCTCTGTGTGGTCTGGTGATGGACCTGCAGCCTGTCCAGGGTGTGCCCTGCTGCCTCTCACAGTGACTGCTGGAGACCAGGAAGAAGAAATAGAAGATAGATAGATTGTACTGTACTACTTCAGAGACACCACCGTTGGGAAACAAAGTCCTTGTTAAAACAAACTTCAAAGCACACTCCAAAAATTATACCTGAGCTCTTTTCAACAACTATTTGGCTCCTGTTCCAGATCAAACTGTATCAAACAAATCAAAAATAATTATTCCAGCAACAAACTAACAAGTAAATATTAAACATTCTTGTGTTTAAACCCTGTCATAAATTAAGGAACATTATAAATCAAAGTAAAAGAAAATGAGTTGAAAATTTTGTGAAATTCCTTGACATATAAAATAAAGCCAAATACGGAAGTGACGTAAAAACCTTTACCCAATCAACTGCTACCATGCATTGATTGACCTGATGTCTAACCAATTAAATTAGGTATTTGTCCCAGAATGGGCGGGGCTACAGGTTTTTAGTGAAAGAAAAGGAGGCGGCTTGTTCTTTCCTGACCAACTTGCCTGAAGCGTCAGTAGCTCGACACGGACAGACTTCTGTAAAGTTCCTGCTCTTGTGTCTCCCCCCACACCCGGCGCTAACATGGCCCCCAGCACGCAGCTGAAAGAGGCGATAAGCGATGTGCAGGAGGGTATCCGTGCCATTCTGCTCGGACCTCCCGGAGCCGGGAAAGGGACTCAGGTGAGGACATCGCTATTAGCGGTTAGCCGTTAGCTTGGAGGAAGAGAAGTGTACTGCGCATGCGCGATATTTATGCTATTATTAGCCTATTCGTTTCAGATCAATTTTTATTATTTCACTGCACTCTGGAAAAACATAATTTATCTTGCAGGTCTTTAGACGTCCTGTTAACAAAGTTATAAAAATCTAAAGTTATTAATCATGTTTTTGTATTTGTTTTCATGATAAAGTTGCAAAGCTAGCACGTAGCACTGTTGAAGTTAGCTAATTCAGGAGGTAAATATATCTTTATTGGAAAGTTTGTGGTTGTTTTTGGAGATTTTATCATTCGTAAATAAATAAAATTGATTGGTTATACGTTAAAGGCTGCTCAGAGTTTAAAGTGTGTTTAAAACTTCAGGCATGTGTTTGTTCAGAGGTATTTATTAAAAGCACAAAACCAAGAGATGTTTGTGTTCCTGTCCTAGATCTTGTAAACTACTGACAAAAGTACAATAAAGTTGTAAATAAAACGTCAAAATCAAATGAAATATTCAAATTAAACATTTTTTAACACCTCAGTGGTTCTGAAGTTCAGTAAGAAATGTAACTGTTTTAAATATAATTTGACAGATAAAATCTGTAGTATGTTCTTTTTTTTTTAAAGCAAGAAAAATAGTTTATTGTTGGCAAAAATCTTCATAAAGCTTCAACAAAACACCAAAGTTCAATAAAAATTTGAACTGTTTTTAAACAAAAATACAAGTTAAATTTTAGATTTATGTTTATTACATATCATTTGTCTGAAATCAACACGTCCAATAAATAAATTTTTCTTACTGTAATTTTTCCTAATATTCTCCCAACACGTGAGAGACGTTCTGACGATGAGGACCAAGTGATGAAGAGTTTCAGGTGTTATTTGGTCCTGTTCCACCTGCACACAGTATGGGTCAGGACCGCGGTCCCGAACCCGTCTCTTCTCTCTCAGATGTGTACGTCTATAAAATATTTTGCAACCTACTTTCTTAAATTTGCGAGCCAAATATGACGCGGTGCTAAACAGAAGGGGCCTGTGAAAAGCAGCACGTGCTTTGGTGACATTTATTAAGGTCAAACATTGAAAATATCAGTTCATGGCTTGTGGTTTTTACCTGCACAGGTGTGTTTTTGTGATTGTTTTGTAGTATTTTTATTGCGTCCTGCTGTTCCATTTTATCTGGACTCCTTTTATTAGTCTGGTCAGAACTAAAGCAGTGAGGTTTTCAGCAGAAGACATAGATGCTGTTGATTTAAAAAGGAAAAAGTCTAAAGTTGTTTGGTGATTTGGCTCCAGTCAAACCAGAATTTGACATGATTTGTTACAAAACCTTCAGAGAACAGAAACAGGATTCAGGACAGAGTCCACAGTTTTTAGGGCTAAAGAGAACCAGTTGTCTCTGCTACGCGTTTCAGATCATGTTGAAATGTTGCATGTACTGAAACCGCTGTCCCTGAAGTATTGGAAAAGTGTGAATGACCTTTAACCTTTTGTCTGCAGGAGCTGTTTCTCTGCAGCGGGCATCCTTGTTCCAGCTTGTCGAACCTTTTTTATGTTTTCGTTTCAAGATATTTCACTGTCCTCATGACATTTGAAGTGCTCAACGATGAATCAGGAATATTACTCGTAGAATAAACACTTTCTTTGAAAGGTTTTAGATCTTTTTTGCTTTTTATGAATTTGTCTCACTCCTTTCCGTCTTCTGTTCACGATGAATGTTGTAAGTTTCGCTGCAAAGCCTAGCTGTTTAAATATTAACTTTAATATCTGATTACTCTAAAGTACTAATGCATGTTGTCCTTGCAGGCCCCTCGGTTAGCAGAGAAGTACTGCGTCTGCCACCTGGCTACAGGAGACATGCTGAGGGCCATGGTGGCTTCAGGCTCCGAGCTCGGCAAGAGGCTGAAGGAGACCATGGACTCGGGCAAGCTGGTGACCAAACTTCCACCTCCCAGTTTTATTTATTTTAAACACACCTGCAACACACAGATCAGTTCAGTTCTGTTTTCTCACACACTCATTTTATTAATATTTCAATATCAACGTGAGAGTAAATCCAAACGAAGTCCAGACTTTTTTGAATTTTCACATTCGTTTCATCTGGAACGTCACTGAAACTTCTCCAGCGTGTACCTTTTTTTTTTTTTTTAAAGGTTCTGTTGAACCCAAACCTCTTTATTCTTGAGATTTTTGTGGTGTTGCTCAGGTTTTATGATCATCTTTGACCAGATTCGTTGCATTTTGATGTGGAAAAACTAAATCCCTCGCATGGTAAAACAAGAAAATTATGAAGCTGCATGTCTGTTCTGTTTAAAGTTTTAGTTTTTCTATCTGAAGGTTTCGTTTTGTATTCCTGCTGTGTGTACTTCCTTCATGATTAACTTATTGCGTATAAAGACTAAAGTCTTGTTTTGTGAGTGAAGGTCAGTTCTGGTGGCAGGAAGTGATGTGATTAAATCCTCGTGCAGGTCAGCGATGAGATGGTGGTGGAGCTCATCGAGAAGAACCTGGAGACGCCGGCCTGCAGGAACGGCTTCCTGTTGGACGGATTCCCCCGAACCGTCAAACAAGCAGAGATGGTCAGCATTTAATTTACTGATGATGATTTTCACTGTTGCAGGAAGAACAAAATCATAAGTAAAGGTTTGGAAATAACTTTTGGGTTTATGTACGAATCAAACTGGAAACAGAGCGAGAGCCAGGAATGTTAGAATTTCACAGTTTGGGCTCAGAGGTTCAGTGTCGGACCAAACTGTTGCTAAACTTCTTGATAAACGACCTAAAAGTTGAGCCAGGGGATAATGAGGTTAGTCTTGGTGTTAACACCTTGTCTTTTCATAAAATAATTTCGAGCGCATTTGTTTATTTATTTAAAATCAGTCTAAATTTTTATTTATAATCTTCAAATTAACAATAAACCAAATTCTAAAACTGTTTTCCAGAATCGAGTAAAACAAGTTTTCGGTGTAAAATGTGTGTGAACGCTCATAATGAAGCAACCTGTGAGTGAAGCTGTCTTTGTCTCCAGCTGGACGACTTGTTGGACAAGAGACGGGAGAACCTGGACTCTGTGATCGAGTTTGCCGTCGATGACTCCCTGCTGGTGCGCAGGATCTGTGGCAGGTAGGATGATGACTACTTACTCCAACACAGAGACCTGATGGTGCAGCAGGTATAACCGCTCCGGGCCTTTTCCATTGAAGCTGCTCCAGCGCTGATTCAGAGCCGGTGTTCAGCTGACAACCAGCTGTTTGTTTGAACATCTGGATCTGGGCCCAGAACCTGGTTCTGCTGTTTAAACGTGTCCACACAGGTCCCAAGCAAAGACCTGCTCGCGTTGCCGGCTGTTTGTGGACTTATAAGGACAAAATGGAAGTTTTGTTTGCGTCTTTTTTAAAAATTCTCTGCGATTATTTTTCTAAACTGTCTCAAACTGGGCCAGCAGGTGGCGCCAGTGAGCTGCTGGTTTGTTACATAAACTGGTTCAGGAGCCAAATGTTGGGAAACAAAATAAACAGTCAGGTTTTAACATCTGTCTCATCTGGTTCTCTAGATCATTTTATATTAAGATTTAAAAACGTAAATATGTATTGTTGTGTGCAAGGGATGCTTTGGACCCAGAATGCAACAGTGGTAGTCTAAAGCAGGACGTCCACACTTCCTTTAAATTCATGTACAGTATCTAAAATTAGGACCTTAACATGTTTTAAATTCATTTAAAAAAAAGTCATAAATTGGTCGTAGATGATGATGCAGGGATTAAACTGACGCTGCTTTCAAACAATAAACTGAACCAGAACCGCGGTTTGACCCAACCGGATCAAGGCGGGTCGTGTTGTCCGGTTCACGGTGAGTCCAGAGACGGAGTGCAGGTGAGAGCACCGGTCAGAAACGCCCGCCCCTTCACGAACGTGATGACACGTAATTATTAAATGTGTTCGCACGTGACCGATTCGCTGCAGCGGGGGGGGGGCAGACCCCAGAACTGATGCACCATCACCCCCCTCCTCCTCCTCCTGCACTGCGCTTCGACCTCCGGAGACTTTTGTGTCTAAAGTCTAACTTTGTATTAAACTTCAACATGTTGTGAACATCATCATCGTAGAGACACGTGACCGAACTCTGGGTCACAGAGAGCGCGTCGCCCCGAGAGCAGCGCGCTGAGCCAGCGTGTCACCATGAGGAGGCTGCGTCTGCTGCTTATAATTAACACACAGCTATTTTAACCCCAATTATAACGAAGCTGTGGAGCACGGTGGCACAACTGGTAGAGCTGCTGCCTCTCGGCGAGAAGGTTTCCGGTTCAAATCCCGGTCCGGGGGCCTTCCTGGGTGGAGTTTGCATGTTCTCTCCGTGCATGTGTGGGTTTTCTCCAGTTTCCTCCCACAGACCAAAAACATGCATGTTAGGCTGGTAACTCTGAATTGTCTCTAGATGAGCGAGAGAGTGAATGTGTGTCTCTGTGATGGACTGGAGACCCGTCCTGGGTGTCCCCCGCCCCTCGCACAGTGACTGCTGGACATGGGCACCGGTGACCCCCCGTGACCCAAAATGGAATAAGCGGGTAAAGATGATGGATGGATGGATGGATATAATGAAGCTGTGTCTGTTTTATCTTTATATTTTAATTTCTCTGTGAGAGTCGGTCTGAGGTGTTTGTAAGTTTTTCATAAATGTCTAAATTAAATTCATCAGTGCTTGAAATGGTGTTTTTTTTTTTTTTTATGAGCTAAACTTTATTATATTTAGAATCATACTGAGAGCCAACTACTGTGATAAATGTAATTTATTAAGTGATCAAATATGAAAAATATTTAATGTCAACATGAGCTGAAGTCTTGTAAATACAATTGACTTGGATTTTTAAATTTTATATTTTTTTTCGTTTTTGTGGAGAAATCTGTGACAAATTAAATCTTGATAATTTTACTCTGTAGAGACTTCCTGTCCTGTAATGTATTAAAATATATCCTACAGCCTCTCAACTGAAAACACTGAACTGAAAGTTGAAAACGTCTCTTCAGAACCGCGTTGGTCTGGATGTACACGGTACATCCAATGGGACCCCCACCGTTATTCAAGGGGGCTCCCTGCATAACAACCCCCCCCCCCCCCCGCCCTGACATGTGTTTTCCTCCCTCAGACTGATCCATCAGCCCAGCGGACGCTCCTACCACGACGAGTTCAAACCCCCCAAAGTCCCCATGAAGGACGATGTGAGTATCTGCACCTCCTGCACACGACGGTTAGTTTCACTCCTCTGGAGCTTTGAAGTGAGATTATTATTATTATTATTGTTGTTGTTGTTATTATTGTTATTGTTGTTGTTATTATTGTTTAAACAGCAGTTTCAGCTTAAACTGACGGAACTGATGAAGGAAGAATTTATTTAAATTTAAACAACTTCCTCCTCCGACTTCATCCTTCTGTCGTTCTAAGCAGATGCTCGTCGTTGCGTGTAAATGCAGAAACCTTCTCTCGTGTGGATAATTACATGCGTGCATCATCACTGGGCGGAGTGTTCAGTACTCTCAAAGGTCAAGGTTCAAACGAGGCTCGACGGCTGTGTATTAGTTTGTGGACTCGTCTGCTAGTGCTCCTCGAAGGAATGCATGTCGCCCGCCACCGTTCATCAAAGAGCTTCAGACTGTTTCTGTTGAGATCTAAATAATAGGAGCGACGTGGTGTGTTGGAGATGATGCTCAGCTACTACCACACCCGCTTTTAGCTCATTATTGGTGAACGTCGCTGAGTTGTGGACGTTTTTGTTTAGGCTAAGGTTGATTAGCTGTGGCGGCCATATTGAACTGGGTTGACTCTAAAAGTTAATCGTGAGCGTGTTTCCAACGATCAGAGCGTTTCATTAAGAGATTTATTTTACACACGTGGAGTTTGGAGTGGTAGTAGCTGAGAGTTGTCTCATCACATCCTCTGAGCTGTAACGGCGTCGTGCACAACTTGATTTGACCAAACTGGCTTCCAGCTCCTCCTCTGTGTTTTTAAAACGGAGCTGAAAGGCGGCGGGTGACGGGCAAACTTAATTAAGACTTCCTGTCTTTTCTCGTCTGCGCTCAGGTGACGGGCGAGCCGCTCATCCGCCGCAGCGACGACAACGAGACGACGCTGCACTCCCGCCTGAACGCCTACCACCGGCAGACGGTCCCCCTGGTGCAGTACTACAGCGCCCGGGGTCTGCACACGGCCGTCGACGCCTCCCAGGACCCCAGCGTGGTGTTCGCCTCCATCGTCGCCGCCTTCTCCGCCGCCACAGAAGCTCCCGCTCGCGCCGTGGCCTGTAAAGACCGAGTGTTCTTCATTTAAACCCTTTTCCTTCCTGTGTCTCGTCCTGCGGGTCCTTTACACAAAGAGTTGAGTCTGAAAACAAGACGGAGGCTCGACGTGGTGCCGGCTGTCCTCCTTTCTCTTGAATGGTGTCCGTTGATCCAGTCTGTGCTGCTGAGTTCAGGTTTTGGGTTTTGACTTTGAGAGGATCAGAACTTGGTGTTGGTCTCTGGGTGTCTCCAGACGGGGACATTTCCTCGTGTTTAATCAGTAACTTTCCATTTTTCCTTTAACAACGTTCATCTTTTGGCTCTTTTCTTCCTCACTTTTCTTTATTTATTCCCTTTTCCTCAAACTTGAAATGTGTCGGACCATATATTTCGTGGCCTTTTAACATTTCTCTTGTTCACCTGGTGTTACCGGACCGACTTGAGTTCTATGAGCGCCTCAGATTACACGTCCTCGTGTGACTCCGGTGAGCGTTTGTGATTTTTCACGTCCTGCTGGTGTTTCTGTGGAGGAGCTGTTTTTCTACAAGCATCAGTTTGTTTGTTTGTTTGTTTTTCCTCTAATCGGACGTTTTTTCCTGCAGCAGTTTTGTGTAAATGCGTTTTACCGAACGGGAGTTGGTTCGATCGGATCTTTAAACTCCAGCTGATGATGTTAAATGTTCATGAAGCGGAGAACTGTTCCTGTTCAGAAGTTTTCGTTTCACAGCTGATGTGTAAATATTTAACGGGACGTGTTGCGTCTCGATTTAGACTTTAGTCGACGTTCCGTCAGATTGTGCGTTTTTAACTACGTGAATCTTTAGAAATTAAGACAATTAATGACAGATTTATGAAACCAGTTTAATTATTGTAAAAGTTTAGATTTAGAAAACCAAAAGCTTCATGAATTCTCAGTAATTTGGTGGTTTGGCCTCGGGGCATGATGCGGATCAGGACGTGCTACAAAAACTGGTCCGAGTGTAAATTTATTATTTTTATTGTAGAAGTTCTGATCTGAAGGTGAAACCTCTCCGGGCTGAAGACGGACTGGTAGCTTGACATTGTGAGAAGTTAAATTTCCAGCTGCAGTTGTTTGAGTGCACATGCTTTTTTTTTTTGAGGCTCGTTTTTAAAATCGCTGCGTTGTTTTCACGTGCACGGCTCGCAGAACGGTTCTCGGCGCACGTTCCGTTGCCCTCGTCGTAGTTCGCGCTGTTCCCACAGTTCTGCTTTAGTTCCCTGAGGAGCTGCAGATCTGGAGCCGTTGTTCCACAATATTCATCTTTGAGGATGTTTCCAGATGTGGAGGCGCCAGATGTTTTCTGCCTGAGAGTAGTGCAGGTGTCGCAGCTGTGCAGGCGCGTTGGAGACTCCAGCGTCTGAACGAAGGAGAGTTCACCTCCGCTCGCTCTTTATTTAAAAAAGGGGCACGAATTGTTTTTGCACACGCTCAAAGTTCAACCGGCTGCCGGACGTACGAGGAGACTGAACGTCCGCTGACGCTTCGTGTCCGCTGACGCTTCGTGTCCGCTGACGCTTCGTGTCCGCTGACGCTTCGTGTCCGCTCCTCACCAGCTGCTCTCAGATCAGTCAGAAACCAACAAGTGTATAAAAACAAGACTTTAAGTTTTATTATCGAGCAGTGAAACATGAAATTATTTAAAGTTGAATATTGGGTCTGATGGTGTTGCATTAACAGCATCCAGTTATTGGAGGCGCGTTCACTAAAAGACGTAAAGTGGAATTAAAAATCATCTTTAAAGCCTCGGAGATTTTCAGCTGAGAGATGACGGGTATTACCCATCAGCCCCGGCCTCAGCCCATTTTTATTTCCACTTTGACCAGTTTGCGTCTCGGTGATCTGGTCAGACATGCTACTTCCCAGCTCCTCATCCGTTAGCATGTACGGCTAATAACCGTTAGCCTGGTCACTGAGCACCACCGTCAGTAACTACCACTGGTCTCCCTACTGGACCACGGTTAACTGGTCTGTCAGTTCCAGACCCGACTTCTGACTTTTCAAATGGAGCACAGAGCAACGCCGTGCTGCCCGTAGATGTGCCCGTCTTTTAATCGCCCTGTGGGTCTGGCCCAAACCGTTTTAAAAATGGATCTAAATGTTTATCATAAACTGCCGGTTCTGACCCGATCCAAACCGGGAGTGGAACCTGTTCGGGCCATCAGAAAGCCCTCCACCTGTTTGTCCTCAGCTGTTTGTCCATTAGAGTAATAAAGGACCATCTGCTGCGGCTCTCGCATGACGAACCGGGTCGACCCGCTTCACGGTTCAGATCCATCCGTGTTCCTGGGAGACGGACTTCCTCTGCGTCAGCGCCTTCTCTGAATTTACAGGAAATTTCCCGTGAAGCGTCGGCTGAAGGCCGCCACAGGTTTACGGCTCGTCTCTTCCTGACCATCTGCTTTCTAAACCCAGATCTTAACGCGAGGCCGTGGTGTGTTGATGAACGCAGACCGGACCCAGCTGGACCCAGCTGGACCCAGCTGGACCCAGCTGGACCTGCGTGCGGAGGAAAGCACGGCTCGTTAAACCTGTTCACATCAGCCTTCTTCTGGGGACTGTTTGTTTATTAACAAACAAACGGGACTATCTGGAGAATCTGCTGCGACAGAAACTGCTCTGATCTGAAGCTGAGGGTTGTTTACATCCTGGGCCGGTGGTGGGATTACAGAGACCAGCTAGTCCTCATAATCCCCCTGGAAGATCGTGACCACCGAGTTTACAGAACCAGATTCTGAGCGTTTAATCCACGAGCGGCGGCTCTTTCCTGACAAATGCCAGAGTTCGTCTCGTGCTGTGAATATCAGGTGCATCAGTCAAAAAGTGGCTAAATGCTAATTCAGCACGTCGCTAACACAAAACATGGAGTTGTTGTGTTTCATTTTTAAACTCATAAAATCAAACGTTTCATTCAAACGGGTTCACTCCGGTTGTTTTCAAGTTATGACTGAAACGCAGGTACGCGCTCGACGTACACGAGGAGCTTTTCTCGGCGCGTCTTTACCGAACAGTGAATAAATTCAAACGGTCGGATTTCTTCGTCCCGAACGGCGACTCTATTTCTGTAGGTAAACCACGTCCTGGTTGCTTCAGTCACTAATGCACATTTTTAATTTAAAGACGCGTTGATCATTGACGCAAGTTAAAACTGATTTATGAATTTTAATGAGTCGCTTTAAAGCAGCTGGTTGAACTCCGTCAGGCTTTTAATTAATTTTCCAGTCATGACTCGAGATGCGAGCGGCACGGTGGCTCAGCTGGTAGAGCTGTTGCCTCTCGGCAAGCAGGTTGCCGGTTCAAATCCTGGCTGAGGACCTTTCTGGGTGGAGTTCGCATGTTCTCTCCGTGCTGCGTGGGTTTCCTCCCATGTTGGGCTGATTAGCAACTAAATTGTCCCTAGGTGAGAGAGGGGGAGTGAATGCTTGTTTTGTCTCTGTGACCCTGTGCTGGACTGGGGACCTGTCCAGGGTGTCCCTGTGCTGGACTGGGGACCTGTCCCCCACCTCTCACAGTGACCTCTGGACATGTGACCCCCGTGACCCAACAAAGGAAGAAGCGGGTAAAGATGATGGATGGACTCTGGACACGTCCTGTCGAGTGTTCAGGACACGTCCAGTCCTCGGAGTCACCCGTGGGCTCGTTTGGACAGTTCTGGACCTGAAACCAGACGGTTGTCTGGATGACGTGAATGAAAGTCTGACTCAGATTAGAGGAGTCTACATGTCTTCTCCGTTCTGCGTTGATAAATGCTTTAAAATAAAAATGGCCGTCGGGTGACACCCAAGGGTCAGATTAGTTTTTATTTTCAGGCAAAGATTCACGTTAAAGTGTTTTATGTGAATTTCTTTCTTTTTTTTAGTCTTTTGACATGACTTTAACATTTGGAAGATTGAAAGTGAGACATCAGTAGCAGCTGTTATTGATTATTTATTGGTAAATGTTGTTTTTGTTGCCGTGACCTGAAGTCGTTCAGTTCAGCAACGTTTGACTTTATTTTAATATTTAACAACAATAATCTGAAGCACCTTTTTTATTGTTGCTGCTTTAAAATGTAAAGATTTTTTATTTTTTTTAGAATCCAGTGGGAAATTTCAGATCTGGAGCCGTTTTTCTAAGTTTGAAAGTTGATCTTTTTAATACTTTAATCTGTGAAGTGGTGGATTTAAACTCTCGTAAAATTTAAGGTTTTATTTTTGCAGCTTCTCTGAGTTTAACGTTCATCAGATGCATTTTATTAAAACGACTCTTTTTCTCGCTGTGCTTTGGTTTAAACTCGTCTCTGACGTTTGCTGGGATCGAATCTTCCTCGTCGACCTCCTCTGTGCAAACCGCCTGTTTCTGTCTTGAATCTGACGAATCTCAGCAGACCTGTTGCAGCTGTCGTTGATTCACACCGAGTCTTCTCGTTTTGTCTTTCAGCTGCTTGAGTCCTGAGCCGCTTCGCTCCCTCCGAGGCGAACGAAGACACGGTTTAAACTTGATGACGGCCTCTGGGCTGAGAGATTTATTTTTATTCCCTGTAGATTATGACCAGAATGAAACGATCTTCAATAAACGTTCTGCTTTTCTACAACCTCCATTTGTTTTCTACTTTGTGAGCTCTTAATTTGTTGAGTTTCAACCTGATGAGCTTTTAATCTTTTAAATTTTAAACCTCGGGTCGATTTTAGTGACAAATAATTTTTAGATTTTACTTGTTTTATTCAGGGGAGTGGTGGTGCAGAGGTTAGAGAAGGTGGGCCTGTGATCGGAAGGTTGCCGGTTTGACTCTTCAGACGGACAACATCAAAATGGGTGGGAAAGGTGAAGCGCCCACACCTGCCTCCACCCTCATTTACCCACTCTGGGCCCTTGAGCAAGGCCCTTAACCCCCACCATCTGCTCCCCCCGGCGCCCCACATGCAGCTCTCTGCTCCACACAGAGGCTGTGGTTGAGTTGGGAAGAACTTGGGTGACCTTTACAGGTTTTACTCGTGACTGGTACAGAAAATACCGATATTCAAGTTCAAGGTTCTTTATTGTCATTTTCATCACATGATGCACGAGGTGGAATGGGTCCCAGTTACATCCAGAATGGGTCCCAGTTACATCCAGAATGGGTCCCAGTTACATCCAGAATGGCAAAAACCAGGTGTAAAAGAAACTACCAAGGATCTAAGATGAAAACTAAGAATACGCTAAACTCTTAATAGTGTAAAACAATACACCGAACAACAGCAGCACGAACATGAGTCTGAGTACATGAGTATATTTGAATACAGCAGCATGAAATGATCAGCAGCGCATATCAAAGTGGCATTGCGGTGATTTATTTATTTATTTTTGTTCAGTGATCATCCTGAATTTATGAGTCTCAACAGCTTCAGGGTAGAAGCTGTTCCTCAGTCTATTTTCCTGCTCTAGATTTAAAATTTTATCGACGTTGGTAACGATGGCCGAAGCGTCTTCTTCCTCCCGTTGTTCAGATTTGAAGCCACAATGTGGGTTCTGACATGTTTTTGTAACCAGATTCTGGGATGTGGGGCTGTACCTTCAAAGACCCGCCTACACATCCTCCCTATTCGCTACCGAGCTGTCAATCACATCGTAACCTGACACTTCTCTTTAGGCCTCAACTAATTTGAACCCGTTTGTAAATGTTTTTGAATAAACGACGGCGAGGGAAGAGTTGTGTAAATTAACGCCTTTAAAAAATTATCTGAAGAGTACTTTTTTTTTTGCAGAAAAATGTTTACACGAAGGGGGGCGGGGCTTATCAGCCACTTGTCCTTTGTGGCTTCAACTTCCTGCTTTCAGCCCTCTAATGTATCAAAGGTCATGACCTCCAAGTTTATTAAAGAACAAAGAAAATCTTTAACATTTGGTGTTTTTTCTGCTCAGCTTTGTGAGTTTCTCCGTGTCGGACGTTGTAAAGTGCAACATTTAGTGACGCTCAGCATCAAGGAAACTAAAATGTCTGAAGGACTGTTGATCAAGACCAAAGGGTACAGGACCGTCTGGCTGCTGGGGAGGAAAAGAAAGAAATGTGGTCAGGATGAGAATTATTTTTTATAGATTTTACATCTAAACAGATTCTTTCATGTTTGTCGTAGACTGAAGAAAGAACACGGTGAACTGTTTGGAGGCTGGGATGGTAAACCTCCTGTTCTTGGACACATTTTGTGTTTTGCTGACCTCTTTCCCTCCTTGTGAGAGTTTATGACGCAGTTTGAACATGTTGGAACAAACTGCACGCTCAGATAACAGGATGATGCTATCTGGCCTCGTTCTCTTTGATTGTCACTGAAGAAAGGCTTGGCTGACGAGTGGAGGGGAAATGAGAACACGTCTGTTTATTTCTTCTCTTTGAAAACGGGTTCAAGTCATAATCTGAAGATTCTCGGCTAAGAGTGAAAAGCTGCTGATCAGCTGCTGATTAACTCACGTCATTAAAGTCGTCGTTTTCACTTTAGATTTTTACAATCATTTTGTTTTCCGCAGAAGTTAAAAGATGTTTTTGAATCCGTTCTCATTAAAGACTTCCAAGGAAACTCTGAATATCATTTCCTGCTTTTCATTCAGGGAAACTCATCCTCTGTTAATGATTAAGATGCCTGGTTGGACTTGCATGAACTGGTTTAAGCCTTTTATGGCTGATGGAAAATAAATAGTTATAAACTGAACAAAGAAGTCGTTTGTTTGGTGTTTTCCAAACCATGGTTCTAGAAGCCTATATTACACCATGAACTTTTATGAAATGTGCATATCATTAAAGAAAATTGGGACTATTTTCAGTGTAACAAATATTTTTTATATTTATATATATAATAAGCAGTTAAACAGGCCATTTACCGTAGACATTTTATTGCAACATTGAACTTATTTAGCTAATAAGCAAGCTAGATACATGACTAAAAAACCTTAATGCAAGTTACTTCCATGAATTACAACAAAGGCTCATTGTATGGAGGGTGGAATGTGACAAAACTAAATGCATGAAATAAGGAATTTAAAAAATAACATTTATTTAATGGGACATTTAATTGCGTTTAAATGAGTCAATGATGTTTTGAATAATGAAATACGTTTAATTATGATGTATTTATTTAGCCACATTCCACCCTCCATACCTCAGCACATTAAGTCAATGCTAGATGTAGCAGAGCGCTATGTAGCTTCTTAGCTAGCACGTCTGTACTGCAGGCTGCTAGCTTCACACGTATAAACATGATATATCTATGGCTAGCTTAGCGTTACAGTGCTGACAAATGTCTACGGGTTGGTGATGGGCCGGGCGCCCTCCTCTGATAATGGTGGGGGAAATGGGGAAACACTATAGTTAGCCCTGGGTTAGCACCATAGACATAAATATGTATATTACATGTGTCTGTGGTTAGCACAATAAATGCTAGCTAGTATAACGATGACTAGCTAGATGCTAGCTAAATTCAATATAGCTAACTAGTTAGCTAAATTAATTCTACATGAAAAACAAATGATAGCTAATTTAATCAAATGGTGCTAGCTAGCACAATAATTGCTATCTAACAAAAATACTAGAAATGCTAAAATTAAATATTATGTTAGCAAAGTGAAATATATAAATGTTAGCTAGTACAACTGGGCCTAGAACTGTTCTCAATCTATAATATTTTTGGTATTTTTAGGATTTGTCTGAGTTTAGATTTAGTTGGTTTTGAGAAACGCTGTTTAAATAAAGTTAAATTGAATAGGCGGTCACGGGGTGTGGTTTCCGGTTAATGACGACGTTACGTCACCGACGGGGTTTTCCTCCCTGACGTCATGGCGCGGAGGGGCGGCAGCAGCAGCCAGAGAGAGCGCGAGTCGTAGCGGAGTGAGTCGCAGAGATTGTCCCGCTCGGAGTTTACACCTGCCGGAGCGCAGAGGACCAGAGGCGGCTGCAATCCACCAGGAAACCCCGGAGGCTGAGCAGGAGGCGGCCGAGGCCTGACCGGCAGCTCTGGGCGGTTCGGCTCGGAGAGGAGGTCCAGAACAGCCTCTGCGGAGGAAGGAATCCTGCCGAGAGGTGAGTGGTCCTCCTCTGCTGCTGCGGGGTGGGTTGAACAGATGTCACGGTTTAAAGGCTCCGTCCCGGGTCACAATAACCCGGGACAGGCCGTGGAGAGAGACGGGTTAACAACAGAGCAGCTGGAGCTAAATTTAACAAATCTTCATCCAGGAGGGCTCAGAGAATCCAGACCTGCACCTTCCAGACCAGAACATGATGTAATCCAGATCAGAACCACATCTGAACACACGGATGCGGTTTAATAACAGAGCAGGGAATAACATCCTTAAACCCTCCAAAACGGATATGTGTTCTGTTTGAGGGCAGGTTCCATGTCCAGGTGGGGTGACAGTGTCCAGCTCTGAAGGAAGCAAGTCGCCCCCAAAATAATTAAATTTTAATAATTAAAGGCTCTAAATGAGTAAAAAGAGGTGATCTTCAGATTAAAGCTGAGATCTGTTGTTGACCACAAAGCTCCTCTGTGGCTGTGAGGCCTCATCTCTGAGTAAAGTGAACACGTCTGCACCTTCAGAAAGGTTCCTCTGCACGTTCACCTGTTCTGAGCTGAAGTCCACGCTCCGAAGAGAAACATGCAGCTCGTGTGTTGAGCAAGAGGTCAGTGTTTCTTTGGGTCTGTTCTTCCCAGTCTAAAAAGGCCAGGAGCTCCAGTTAAACCAGTCCATCTGTAACCAGTCCATCTGAAACCAGTCCATCTGTAACCAGTTCATCTGTAACCAGTTCATCTGTAACCAGTCCATCTGTAACCAGTCCATCTGTAACCAGTTCATCTGTAACCAGTTCATCTGTAACCAGT